CACCATGAGTGGTCAGTGGTGGTAGGATGACCCGTGGAGGAAGTGGATCCCACCTTACCCTGTAACACCTGGAGCGCGCACGGACTGTGGGTCTACTAAGCATTTCCTCCAAGCCTCCCAAGAGGCTTTGCTCGAAGCCAGCCTATCTATTCATCATTGACACCTTCAGTCATCAAGTGGGAGGAGAAGGCGGGCTCTGCTCCAATCTCACTGGGGATGCAAATCCCTGCCGGGCTGAAAATTCCCATCAGGAAGCCTGCAATGCAGTCTCTGTCCCTGGACAAAAGATGGTACAGGCTGAGCATCACTGGGTGCCTGGAGGTCAGAGCAGACACTGGACAAGGACCGGTGTGTTTAGCAACCAAATCCTCCGCGTTTTCCTGGGCGATGCCGACGCCAGACATTTCACATCCTTTCTCCTTACGTATCACCACACTGTCTTCCCTGATAGCTTCTAACTCAGACACAGCCTGAGAATCCACTGTCAGCCCACAGCTGCTGACTGTCGCCTGGGAAATCAGTCACTGTGCCGATGGGCCGGGAGCAACTGATGCTGTTGTGCTTTCCCCTCTCTTAACGGAGATCATCTCGACATGACACTAAGGACATGTGTCTCTCAGCTCTCTTCCATGTGGACAGTGAAGGTAATGGCAGGAGGCTCACATTCTACAGGCAGCCCAGACCAGCAAGGGGCAAGCTCTCTAAGGAGCCACGGAGGCACAATATGGGACAGCCCATGCATAGCTGGGACTGCTAGCCACACAAGAGCAATTGGAGCAGGCACACCTCTGTGCAGAGGTGACAGTCAGCTTTCAAGGACAAGAGTGAGGTGTACTGTGAGCATTTAGTGCTCAAAGCAATTCAGTTCCATAAGAACTCCAGTGATTGCATGAGCCTTTCTGAGTGCCGTCCTGAGTCTGCCCCACCTCGTGAAGCACGATTAATTCCTTCCCTCCCACTGCTTTCCTGTTATCATGTCCATTTTCAATTTGTTTCAACAGACCCACATTCAGTTCTTACTATGCACTCGGCTCTGTGGACAGAATTGGACTAAAAGTCTCAGCCTTCAACAAACTCACGGTCCCACAGGGAGACCGAAAGACTAACAACAGGACAGTGAGGCGAGAGTTGTCCCGGGGGGTGGGGGCCTGTGGAAGCCCGAGGAGGGAGACGGTCCCCAGACCTTCCTTGATATTAATAAGCAACATCAACAACCGCACTGGGGAGTTGAGGTCTGGAGGAGGCATTCACTAGCAGAAAAGAGGCAGGGAGCTCCCCTAGACGAGGCAGTGCATAGCGAGTGAGGACTGTGTGGGAGTGGTCGCAGTTCACAAGTGAGATAAGAGAGAAGAGGCTGTCACATTAGGGGAGGTGAGCCCCTGGGGAAGGGCTGTGTGAGCCTGCTCCTGAGTTGACTGTGGTGTAGACCCAAGGCAGTCATTGATGGCAGTGATTCCAAAGGTGGAAAAGCCACTGCAGGACAGGGCAGGGAAAGCTGTCTGGACACTATGGCCATAGTTTGCTCAAGCGATGGTGAGCGTGTAAAGTAGGGCAGTAGGAGTAGGGAGGGTGGGAAAGGGGAATTTTGAGAGATCTTATAATGCAAAACTCACAGGGACGTGGGGAATGATGGAACCAGGAATGACTCCCAGGGGTCAGGTGCCTGGGAGAAGAGGAGACCAAACACTGGCACCCAGTAAGCCAACGAAAGAAGGAGAGAGTGGGCCTCAGCGACACACACTTGCACAGAGGGGCATTTCTGAGGCCAGTCTGCAGAGCGCTGAGGAGGAGATGGGGAGCAGTGAGGTAGTCAGCAGGTGGATATGGATGTCTGGTTGTGAAGGGACAGAGAGAGTGGCAATGAACTTAGAAACAGACATACAATCAAAGGAAGATTCTTTTTTTTTGAAATGCTGTTTTATTTTGTTTGTTAGTTTATGAGAGAGAATCCCAAGCAAGGTCTGCACTGTCAGTTCAGAGCTGGCTTGATCTCATGAAGGGTGACATCATGACCTGAGCCGAGATCAAGAGTCAGATGCTTCACTGACTGAGCCCCCGAGGTGCCATTATTTTTAAACACCAGAGACCCTTGGGTGTGTGCGGTGTGTGTGCCTACGTGTGTGCATACCTGTGTGAGTGTCTGCGTGTGTGTGTATGTGTGTATGACAGACACTGAAAATACAGATGAGAGAGAAAGAACTTGATGGAGGAAGGTTCCAGAAAAGCAGGGAAAGGAAGAGATAAAAACCAAAAATGCAGAGATTATTGTTGGCTATTGTGGGCAAGCATGGCCGTGGCAGGGACAGAAGATGTCCTCAGATGCTGTCAGGAAAGCCCTAAATATAGTAGGTCCCCAGGAAGCACACACTGAGAACTGTGAACCGCCAACCCAGTGCCATGTTAAAAAAAAAAAAAAAAAAGAGTGAACTAAACACCTGATTTTACCTTCCAACTTGGGACAATGCCCCCAAATCTGTCTCCCATCTTCCCTCCATCCGTCCCTCTCTTTACTGCCGCCTCTGAAAAGGCCAACCTGATGCATGCAGCAGTGGGAGCTGCAGAGAGGTAGTTCGGGGAAAAAAGGACAGTTAAGCTAACCATTTACCCTGCCATCAGGGCCATCCCCGTTAGGAACGACAAGAGGAACTGGAGCATCTGAGTGACTCAGTCAGGTAAGCGACCGACCCATGGTTTCAGCTCAGGTCCTGATCTCACAACCCCTGAGTTCGAGCCCCACAACCTGGCTCTGAGCTGGAGGTGGAAAGTCTGCTTGGGATTCTCTGTCCCCGCCCCCCCCCCCCCCGCACCTCTCCCTGCCCCTCCCCCACTTATGCACGCGCGCGCTCTCTCTCTCTCTGGCCTTCAAACATAAATAAATAAACATTAAAAAAAAAAAGGAATGAAAAGAGGAACTGCATTTCTAATAGTCAAGTAAAGGATACTGGCATCTGTCTGCTAAGAAAGGTGCTATGATCTTAATAGAGGCTGTGTGCCTTGGTTATGGGACCTCCGAGTGTTCTCATTGCCGCAGGGCTATCTTCTCAACACCGACGAATTAAGGAACCAGACTTCATTACAGAAAGGTCTGACATTAGTGTTTCTTAAGGTCACTCCAAACTCTCAGTAGAGGAGACATGACTGCTAGTGGAGTGAGTGCAGATTCCAAGTGCTGACAGGTTTTAAGCCCCTTTTGACAGCTTACCCTCCTAACGTCTAACTGAAGTCAGTGGTATGATTTTTCATGACTATTGTCAATACACGCAATAGTCAAATCCAAACTGGTTAAGTTGCGTGACTGGGGCAGCCACCAGTGTGCCAGGAATTACTGTCATTTAGCTGTAGTGTTAAAATGTGTTGCTAGTGCTGGGCTGGAGCGAACCCAACAGGGGGTAGGAGCAGGGGGGTGGGCCAGCAAGTTTACAAGCTCATTACCCACTTCGAGCCACACTCCCAAATCAGCAAGCTTCCATGAGCCCTGCTAAAAGCACAGAAGAGGCCGGCCCTCCTCGGGATGGAGGAGGGGAGAAGATGCTTGTCTGCTTCAGGTAAAAAAAAAAAAAAAAAAAAAAAAAGCAGCACTCACACCCCCCCAGTCTCCTTTCCTATAGCAGGCCCCCCACGTTATTCACCAGGGAAGCTCAGTGCACCAGGTTATCTATCTCTAAACACCTGATTAGTCAGGGAGAGAAGTGACCCGTGTCAGAGCCTGGAGGACACAGCTCTGCCTCCTTCCTGGCCCTCATGCACGGGGAAGCATGTTTGTGGCTCCCGCAAAGGGACAATGAGATCAAAAATATCAAATGCTACTTTCTAACCATAACCTGCTCCTTCATAATATGTAAGCTTTTACTCAAAGCACATAATAATATCCTGAAAAAGGTATTGTGGATAATACTAACCACCACCACTGAAATGATGGCGTTAGAAAGGATGTTTCTACTTAAGGGTTGTTTCCCGTATTATGAACAGGAGCTCCTAATTTTATTTTTTGTTTGTTCTTTAGATAAAAACACAGGAGTCACAGACCTGCACAAAACACATCTACCCATTCACTACAACTGGCCTTGCTGAATGGTCCGGCTCCTTAGAAAAGCACCGTTAAACTACATTCTTGGCTTTCTTGCTGTTGCCTTTTAATTTTAATTCACTCTAGTATGTGAGCTGCCCTTAAGCCCAAACTAGGAAATTACAAATTGACAAACAGGGCTTTGACCTTCTTCCCAGGCAAGTGCTCAGCATCAGAGTTCAGAGTTCAGAGACTCCCTCCCGCCGCCTTTGCAGACCTGAGGAGTAGAAACATTGAGAGTGGGCAGAAATGGGAAAACTACCCTCAGGATTGCAACCCTATTTTGCCAAATCATTGTTTCAATCTTCACCGAATCCCACGAATTCCCTGTCTTCAGAAAGGACCACATTATGTCAAAGCAATGTAGCTCCGCCCAAGCAGACCCCGCAGAGTTTTGCATCTGCACGCTCTTGGCTGGAAATGGGTCTTTGGGTGAACTGGAGAGAAGTTTCCAACCCAAAGCTCACCGGAGCGCTTGTCATTGTCTTGGCACGTACTTCGTGCACCCCTGTGCTCAGCTGCGGAGGGAGGAGAGGTGTTAAAGGTCCTGAGATTCCTGTGGCCAGATAGGGGGCACCATCTGGACCCGCACACATTGGAGCACCCTGGGTCCAGCGGCTTCCAGCCACGTGCGTTCCCACAGCGCCGGCGCCGTGCCAACAAGCGCACGAGAAAAATTTTGCTCAGTTCACGCTGGCACAGGTGCGCCAAGGGCTCCCTGGGCAGCTCCGAGAGGCAGACGCCAGAGCCGCACGTCGGGGAAGGGCAGGAACTCACCCTAACTTTTGAGCTGAGGACCACGCTTGGGGACTAGGTTAGAGAGAAGGAAACGGGGCGCCCGAGACTGTGCAGGGACGAGGCGGCGGATGGCGGGGTCAGGGTGGAGACCAGACGCCAGGGTCGGGTCCGCCCCAGCAGCCGGGACGCCGCTCACCTGCGTTCCGGAGCTTGCGGTTCCTGAGCACGGAGAGGATGACCAGGAGGTTGCCCACGACGTCCACCGCGGTGGTGACGATGAGCACGGTGGACAGCGCGGGCGCCTCCCAGGGAGGACGCGCGGTCCCCGGCCAGCCGGGGCGCACGGCCAGCTCGCCCGCCGCGCAGCAGTTGGCGGAGGAGCCGTTCTCGGGCATCGTGGACCGTCCCGCGCCGCGCACGCCAGCCACCGCGCCACCCGCTGTCGCCGCGGGGAGCGCGGTGCCGCGCCGGGAGTTCTTGCTGTCCCTTCTGTGCCTGGGGCCTCGCCGGCGAGGGAGGAGGCCAGTAGGGAGGGACCCAGGGGAAATTAAACGTGGGCAGGGGGCGGAGAAAATGTAGGAATGAGAGGACGCCCCGGAGTGACGTTGCCAGCAGGAGCCGGTCCTCCGTGGCCGGCTCCGGAGCCCAGCCTGTGCCTGGCCCAGCCCAGGTCTCGGTTCCTGAGCACACCTCCACGCCCAGATCCCGGATTCCCTCCTCCCCCAACCCCCCCAGGGAAGCTGTGCCCAGGAGGGACACCCGGGTTTGCAGACTGGAGAAGGGGCTAGTGGTGGGGATCTGCCCATCCGTTGTCAGAAGGGCAAGGTTTGCGGCGTCCCCACGTGGGGCTGTGCGGCTCCAAAGAGAACATAGTCCCCAGCGTCTGGGGGCAGATCCCAGGACAAAGTAGGTTAGCGGGTTACACTCCAGGCAGCTACAGGAGACAAACCAACCTGTGCGCTTTATTGAGCACGTGTGTATCCAGGGAGACATCGATGCTGTCTCTGCCCTGGCCTCTTCATAAACCAAGACATCTATTGACGTATGAACATTTCTTTAAATACGACGATACTTAAAGAGATGTATGGGCAATACTGGGAGGATTCTTAAGGTTTTATTAATTATTAAGCGGTTTTGGGGAGGGGGGTTAGAAAAACAACAACAACCTCAAAGAGTGAAATATAACTCCTGGAAACAAGGAACTTAGATGCTCTTTGAGCACTTACTCTGATAATAACAGTAGCGAAACCTCTTTGAGGATGAATGTTATGCCAAGGACTGTCCTAAGCACTTTGCACCTTATGAGAATCGCTGAAATCAAAATGACAATTTTAAATAGGAGGAGGAGGTGACGCGCCTGGACACATTGCTTCCACGAGAATACAACACGGTACAGCCACTTGGAAGAGCTGTTGGTGGTTTTATGGAGTTAGACATAATCCATCCTTCGACGGAAGTGAAATGAGAACAAAACATACATCCACAAAAAGGACGTGTACCCGGATGTCCAGAGAAGCCTTAGTTCTAGTAGCCCGAACCTGGAAACAGCCCAAATGCCCATGAGTGGGTAAACACATTGTATATTCGTACATAGAATATACCACTCTGCAATAAAAACTACTGATATACACAACATGGATTAATCTCAGCAATACTCTCTGGAACAAAAGAAGCTAGACAAGGAGTACACACTCTACAATTCATTTATATGAAGTCAAACTATGGGAAAAATTAATCTATGGTGAAGGAAATTAGACCAATGGTTGCCTGTGGGGGTTGAGGATGGACTGGGACAGAACGTAGAATACATTTCTGGGATGTCATGTGCATGGTTTTTATGTAAATAGAATATATGTTATTTTCTATAAATTATACTCTCCCATTTTCAGCCCATCCCAGTCCCCAAGAACTGAAAACAAAAGGAGAATGCGATCAAGAGGGAGGCAGTGCTGGTATGATGATTCAGGAGAAGGATGTGATAGCTGGAGAACAGCCGGAGCCCAAGGACGGAATATTCTAGTTTGCATGGAGAAGCCCCTTCCCCGTGGTAGAAAGGAAGCAAGCCCGGGCGGCAAGTTCCCAAGTGTTCCTAGACTACTGTGAGCAAATGAGGGAGTTGCCCTCTGGCCACTCTAGTCTCAAAGAGTTTGAGGCTACCTCATTAGGCAGGATGGGGGGTGGGGGTGGGGAAGAATGTGGGAGGTTTGAAGACTGGAGAAGGTATGAAATGTCATTTCAGAAATAGGTACACTAACTAGGAGCATGGCTGATGTGTCAGGAGAGATTGTAAACTCCTGTGCAGCTTAAGAGCATGGCTTTAAATGAAGCCAGTCAGCCTCGTGGGGCGGATTGTCAGTCAGCAACCTGAATCCACTGGGGACAGGCACGGAGGGGGCTGGGGGAATTTGAGCCGGGATTGAGGTTGGCCAGAGTAAATAACTGAAGGAAGTGTGAGGCATGGCTGGAAGACAGAGCCTTGGATCTACATTAAATGAGAGATGCTGAGAAAACGGGAGGGGCTGAGAAAGAGGAGATCAAAGAAGTGGAGCAAATTCAAAGAATTGTGGGTAAATCTGAAAAAAAAACAACAACAACCCAGATTGTGGTGTTGGACTTGACTGACGCTTGAGACTTCTTAAGAGTGCAGATCCTGTTTGAAGTGAGGGCTCCCAGTGTGATGATCGGAGTTGGTGGCGGGAGGAAGGTGAGGGAAAGTTCGTAGAAAATGAGAAGGTATTGTGGCAGTGAGAGAAAAAGGAAACTGAGTCAGGGGGCAAATCCCACTGAATGAAGAGGAACAACGCAGTGGGCAAGAGAGCTGGTGGCCAGAAGCTTTCTATCTTGATGAGGTCCCAGTAGTTCATTTTTGCTCTTGATTCCCTTGCCTTTGGGGATGTGTCAAGTAAGAAATTGTTGCAGTTGAGGTCAAGAAGGTTTTTTCCTGCTTTCTCTTCTAGGGTTGTGATGGTTTCCTCTCTCACATTCAGGTCCTTTATCCATTTTGAGTTTATTTTTGTGTATGGTGTGAGAAAGTGATCTAGTTTCATTCTTCTGCATGTTGCTGTCCACTTCTCCCAGCACCATCTGTTAAAGAAGCTGTCTTTTTTCCATTGGTTGCAAATGACATATCAGATAAAGGGCTAGTATCCCATATCTCTAAGGAGCTCACCAAACTCCACACCCGAAAAACAAATAATCCAATGAAGAAATGGGCAGAAGACATGAATAGACACTTCTCCAAAGAGGACATTCAGATGCTCAGCGTCCCTCCTTATCAGGGAAATAAAAATCGAAACCACACTGAGATACCACCTCACGTCGGTCAGAGTGGCTAAAATGAACAAATCAGGAGACTCTAGATGCTGGTGAGGATGTGGAGAAATGGGCCCTCTACTACACTGTTGGTGGGAATGTAAGCTGGTGCAACCCCTCTGGAAAACAGTATGGAGATTCCTCAAAAAATTAACAATGGAACTCCCCAATGACCCAGCAATAACACTGCTAGGAATTTACCCAAGGGATACAGGAGTGCTGATGCATAGGGGCACACACACCCCAATGTTCATAGCAGCACTCTTAACAATAGCCAAAACATGGAAAGAACCTAAGTGTCCATCAACTGATGAGTGGATCAAGAAGACGTGGTGTATTTCTACAATGGAATACTACATGGCAAGGAGAAACAATGAAATCTGGCCATGTGTAGCAACATGGATGGACCTTGAGGGTGTTATGCTGAGCGAAATAAGTCAGGCAGAGAAGGACACATACCCTATGTTTGCACATATAGGTGGATTAGGAGGAAGTTAATGGAGGACGATGCAGAAGAACGGGGGAAATAGTTGGGAAGAGGGAGGGAGGCAAACCATGAGAGACTCCTAAATACTGAGAACAAACGGAGGGCTGATGGGGGTGGGGGAGAGGGAAAGGGGTTGATGGGCATGGAGGAAGGCACTTGTTGGGATGAGCACTGGGTGTTCTATGGAAACCAATTTAACAATAAACTATTTAAGGAAAAAAAAAAAGAGAGCTGCTGGAAAGAGGAGAAGAGACATCAGGACGGTGTGAATGTCACCAGCCATTTCCAAAGAAGGGATAACCAAGCTCTCCTAGTTCTTACAGATGCAAATGTGCAAATGAAGCAAATAGAAAGTGGCACTTGTGTGGCTTTCAGCGGCCCTTAGAACAATAGATGAGTTGAATACAAGATAAATTGCCCCAGTTCAGCACACCAATAACACACATTAGGTTAATTGAGTCTGAAGCAGGAAGCAGCCCTGAACTGCCCTGGGATGTGATCATGCTCATATCCACAATAGTGTATCAGACATCTTTGGGCACCAAGAATCAGAGTGCTCTCTGTCTAACAAGTCAGTATTACATCCTGGCACAGCTGACCAGGCTGGGACTTAAAAGGCAGGAAAAAGGTACTGAGACTTTGGAAGACAGTTTGATGGTTTCTTACAAACTAAGCACACTATTGCCATACAATATAATAATCACACTATTACGTATTTACCAAAAGGAGTTGAAAAGTTATCTCTATACTAAAACCTGTGCATGGGTATTTATAGCAACTTTATTCATAATTTCCAAAAATTGGAAGCAACAAGGTATTCTTCAGTAGCTTAATGATGAATAAACTTCGATATATAGAGACAATGGAAAATTATTCCTCACTAAATAGAGAAATGAGTCATCAACCCACAAAAAGACATGGAAGAACCTTCAGTGCACATTACTAAGAGAAAGAAGTCGATCTAGAAAGGCTACATACTATATGATTCCAACCATATAATATAGAATATAGTCTGCGAAATGCAAAACTATGGAAATAGTAAAAAGATCAGTGGTTGCCAGGGCTTAGGGGACATGGAGAGAGAAAATCGGCAGAGCACGAAGGATGTTTAGGGAAGTGAATCTATTCTGTATGATACTGAGGTGGTGAACTGGTGTCATTATACATTTGCTCAAACTCATATAACACCAAGAGTGAACTCTAATGTAAACCATGGACTTTGAGTGATAATCAAGTATCAGTGTAAGTTCATCAACTGCAACCAATGTACCACTTTTGGGGGGCAGGGTATATTGGTAATGGGGGAGGTATGAATGTGCAGGTGATTTGTATAGGAACTCTTTGTGCTTTTTGGCTGTGAAATCAAAACTACTCTAAAAAAGAGTTTACTTATGAGGTGCCTGGGTGGCTCAGTCAGCTGAGTCAGTCTGACTCTTGATTTCTGTTCAGGTCATGATCCCAGGGTTGTTGAATCAAGCCCTGTATTGGGCTCTGTGCTGAGCATGGAGCCTGCTTAGGATTCTCTCTCTCTTTCTCTCTCACTCTCTTTCCCTCTTTCTTTTTTTTTTTTTTAATTTTTTAATGTTTTATTTATTT